CAAGTAACAATTAATGAATTTTTTTAATTATTATTTTTGAAATAAATTATAGATACCCTGAGGTAAGTGTTTTTTTCCCTCTTCTTTTTTTTCTTTTCCCTTGTTAGAATAAAAATATAGATGATTTTACCCAATTCGGTTATTGCTATTAATCGGTTAATGTTTTGAAAATTCATAAGTCCCGAAATGATCACATTAAGCGGAGTCTATTGTATAACTTAACCCATAAAAGCCCGAATTTTTAAAAATTGATTTTTAAATGTTTGACTTTCATTTCTTGAATAAAACATGGAAAAAATACTTTAAAAAAATCCTATTTTGTTTTAAGTATGGTTTATGGATGAAAAACAGTTTGTTACCAACTGACAACACTGGGATTTACTTTAGAAAAAAATTTCTTGATAAAATTCTATATATATCAAACACAGATGAATTTTAATAAATAATACGGATAAAGAATTTCCTTCAGCATTGTAGAATAAAATATGGTATTCTCAAGCAAAAAACAAAGCTAAAAAAAGATGCAGCCGCAAGTGAAAAACATCCCTTTATTTTTTTTTATCAGCAATCAGGCTGCCATCTATATGTTGTAAATTGATTTAATAAAAATTTCAATATGTATCCTATTGACAACAACAGGCGTTAGAGATTCAGTCTTATTCTCAAGATTTTAGAAGACAAAATTGGGTATGTTGCTTAAAGGCAGCATTGGGCCTTTAAGGGTTAAATCTCAAAGTAGTGAATTTGAGGTCTGTAATCACTATGCAGATAACTTAATTCCCACGTCCTATTTATTATATCGCCACATGCGCGATGGATAAACATAATGCTAATGAGGGAAAGAAGGAATAGTAAAAACTGGCTGAAAAAAGGGACTACTGACGTTATCTTCGAATGACTTGAAATAGGGGGAAAGCACTTCCCTGTTTTTCGTTAAAATCCTTCTATTAAACAGATAGTTTGATATTTATGAAGATGTAATCTAAAGATTAGTATAGCAAAGTTTCATGGCATTAAAGTTCCGTGATCCTGTTTTGGCATAGTAGTACCTACTCACACATTATGAATCAAGCTGAAACCTAGAATCTAACTAACAAGAATTTATTCATTCAGTTGAGACTAAATATGTGTGAAGGAGTCGACACATAATTGCTCCTTTGTTTGAAGAAAGGGCAAACAAGTAAATAAGCACCTCTCCAAATGTGGATACTTGGGTAATACAACTTAGGTTTAAACGCTTTGAAGGTCTTTCTTCTTTCGGAGGTGACAATTGCAGGAACTGCTCCAAGTATTCGTTGAAGCTCATCTTTGTCTGGATGACATTCTTGACACAGTGATCTTTTAACAAGATGGAGCACTAAGCCATTGTGCTTTAATTATTCGAAATTACCCAAACAATTGTCTCTTCTCTTGACTCGATACACTGGTCAAAGAGGATTTTGACCTTAGATAATTTAGTCCTTATTTTTAACTATGGTTTGTGTTTAGGTTATAATAATATTTAAGATTAAAGGATTTAGGATTGTTGCGATTTGATTTCTTAGATTTATGTCTCCTTTTTTAAGCTGAACTAAATAGCGTAAAGGCCATTTGTCTTTATTTAAAGTATTTAATTGATGATATATAAATCTAAATACAGGGTGTCCGAGAATTGTTAGTTTCAAAAATTAATAAAAAAACTAATGTTACAACTACGGTTTTTCTTTTAAATGAGAGCGCATTTTAAAAAGACGTTCTTCAGATAGGTGGCGTACCATTGCAACGTTCTAAATTTGCTACAGTGAGAGATTTCCATTTTCAATGGCTACCTATCAGCAGAAGCCGATGCACGTTTTCTGGTTTCCTTTTTTAGTTTTTCTTGAATATCTCGAAAACTATTCAGTTTTCGAATTACAATTTATTTAATAAATTAAAGAGCATAAAATTCCCTACAAATAAATGCTTTTATTTTTCTTCTATCTTTGATAGTTTCGCAGATAATGGCTCTCAAAAATAGGAGATGTCCATTAATTTCCGACCCCATAGACCACCGTAACGGCGCGTTACCTATCTGGGAAAAAAACTTTAAAATGCGCTCTGGTTTAAAAAGAACGTAGCTTTAACGTCATTAGTTATTTTTAAAATTAATTTTTGAAATGTGTCCAACAATTCTCGGACACCCTGCAACCAAGTAACGCTTTCGCTAAAAAATGATCCCATAAACCGCACTTACATCGTCGCAACATAAGCTGCCTGTTTTGCGTCTCAAATATTTAACAGAATTGAGGTTATGATAGAGGTCCAGTCTAGGTGACGGTCCAAATTCGTCACCCATTTCCTAATTCATGGAGGGAAACGTCTTCCCGCTAGTATGGCTTGGTTGTTTCGAGAGGAGAGTGCTGTCTCAAGTGTCGTCATCGGCATCTGACGACGACAGATCAAAATTACAAGTTCAGTGCAAAAATAATCCTCATGAAGCCTCAAAACGGGACATTTAAATATAACTAATATTTTCTTCAATGAAAAAATCATGTATATAAAGTTTATTAAATTTTCAATAATTGGAAAATCCGGTTTATCGTGGAATCTCAAAAAATAATATTTGTGTTGAGGAAGAAATTTATTTCAAAATACGCAAGAGCATCTTAAAAATTTTATTCTATTTCGTTAGTTTATACTCACGAGTGTTATTTTTGAAGAAAAGATTTCTATTTCGAGGAGTTTCGATTTTTCAAGTTCGAATTGTTGAACAAAGCAATTTATATTTATGAGACTTCCCGTTCTAAAGATAAAACTAAAAGATATAATCAATGAGTTTTATCAGATGTGAAAAATAGCGTTGAATAGAAAAGCTATATTTAGTTTTGCCAAATAAGATAGAAGGATCTATTTCTTGTACTAATTTTAATGGGAATATATTCATTGAAAGTTATATCAGGTAAAAGTTATCCGAAAAATTAAATTGCATTACGCGTTAAATTGATTTACACTAATGAAGCTAAGTTACTTGCTTTTTCTGAAAACTCCAAATGCAGAATTGGCTTTTCGGTAAAATTTAACCATTTACCCCTTCCGGAACGATTTAATCACGAAAATATGTGCATGGAATAACCGTTTAATTTCGTTTTAAAAACATACAGTAATATCTCTGTTTTCGTTTACTTCGATTATCGTCGATTTTTTTTCGCGACAAATTTGTCTCATTTTCGATGTTTGCCTCGGATTTCGTCGGCGTTCCTCGTAACTTAGCTATTAATTTTACGAAACAAAAGGCGATGGTTCGAGTTCGCACAAATCTGAGGCCGAAAAATTTATGTGCGAATCCAAAGATTACATAGAGGCTGAAGGATTCATACACCAACAAGTCTTCGACTGTGATGAAACTGCACTCTTTTCGAAAAAAATACCCAAGAGGATGCTCATTACACAGAATGAAAAGTCACTGCGCGGACATAAGGCTATGAAAAATAGTCGAACTCTTTTGTTGTGCATTAACTATTGTAAAGTGAAGTCCTTACTGATGTACCATTCAGAAACTCTTAGAGTGGTTAGCAGCTTTATATTTATTTTATACTAATTTCTCCTTGTTTCCAGTATTAAACACTCTGTGCTATTGTGTCGTGTAGTTGCAAAAGAGGCGATCTCCATTTTTTGTCACGAATGCATTTTTTCAAAGATTTTAAGTCTATATGATCTCTTCTACTACTTGACAACAAGAAAATGTTTAAAGCCTGGCCCTATTCATGTTTAAAATGCGCCCGAAAACCAAGGTGTGCTGCAGAACTGACCATCTCCACTATTTGACCAAAGCAGCCATCTACAAACCCGCCAGGCAGTGCAGCGGTAGTTTCATGAAACTTTGCCAAGAGCAGACTTGCAGCTGTTAATGTGGACACTGCGATAAGTTCGATTTTTCTGAATTATTGCACTTTTGAACAAGATGGAGAAAAATGTTGAAGCTATCCTCCGGTATTGTAAAAGAGATCCGTTTGAGTGGAAGCGAGAGGTGGCAAAGCAGCAACAGTAGGTTCTATTCATATTATTTCATCTTTTTATGCATAAGAGTGGTTGTGGAAGACGACTGTAAGATGGGAGGAGCGTAAAGACCAAAACGTTCGTTGTGCTTTCAGAAAAGAAGGGGGAGACCAAAGATCAGGGGCATTCGACCCCCCAAAAATGTGTGATATCCTTCATAAATACGTGAAAGTGCATGGAATTTCACTACTGTCGGAATAAGACTCATATAGTAAATACTATTATTTCTCACTTAACTACTATTATTATAGTGAGACCCTGGAGAAGATGTGGCCATGAGAATCTGATTTTTTTGTGATTGAATCTTTTTATGGGATACCTCCTTATTTCAATAATATTTTGAGAAAAATAATTTATCTCCTTTTTTCTATACAATTTGGAATATTTATTTAGATTTCAGATTGTTGCAAAACTGTCTAAATACAAAACACGAGTTGCAAAACTGGCCATTTTCAAAACAAAACCTTAAATAATTCTCCTTCCTTCTTCATACCTTATTACCATAAATTGCATACTGAATCACACTGCCCAAATGCATATAATGCCATGTAGTATTTTTTTAACCCTCATTTTGGCTAGATGCGATAAAATATTCACTTTTCTGAAGAATTTTCTGTTTTGGAGATGGCCATTTTTGAACGCAAGTTCTTTAACGTTTTTATATTCGACTGTATTCAATTTTTAAATTCTGTATCGTTTTTTAATGTTTTTATGTACGACTGTACTCAATTATTAAATTTTTATGCGTTTTTTATGTTTCTAAGGTTTTTATAAATGTTACTTTTTAATGTGTTTTTCACGTTTTAATTATTGTCAGTCAACTTTTAATTTTCTATTACGATTTGCAATGATTTTGGGGTTTGCTGCTTACGGCTTTTGATGTTTGTGCGCTTTATGTTCTTTTTGTGTCATGCGCTTTGTAATTGGAGGCTATCTGTAGTTTGTATTTTCTTTAAATAAATATGAGAACTCAAAATCTGAAACATTGTTACGATCAGGATTAGAACCGGGATATTGCGACCACAACGCAATGCACCAACCACTATACGATCATGGCGACAAAGAGGAATATACCAAAATATGTGCGTTTAATTTGTGCATTAAAAGGAAATTGTATTACTCGCCACTCTTAAAATATAACTAATTTTTCTTTTATTGCAGTGTCACAGGATGTTTGCGTACGGGTGAAAATTCGGAGCTCTAGCTAGTCGGAAAGTGGCCGAAATTTTGTTTATAAGATTTGACCGGTATAAATGAACTGCGCTAGTTTCAAAAACCTTTATGAAAACAACAGGTTAATAGGTTGCACGACAAAGGTTGCATACAAAATAAAGAAAATGTAATGCAGCTCACTATCTCTTCAAGCGTTAACCCAAATCAGTTTAATTACAGTAAAATGTCGTCACATTGCATCTTTAATACACAGAGACGCAATTGAGTAAGACTACAGACAAAAGCAACTCTGTTTTCTATTTGCTTTTTTTTAACTTTTATTTTCAAAGATGTAATTTTATTAAGAGAATTCACGCCTCAGACATCTGAAATGCAAGTATGACTCCGTGAATAAATACTAGCAAGAAGATTAACGCTATAATTAAGGGAACACTCTAATAATGATAATAATGAGAGAATAGGCACGCTTTAGATTAATTTTTAACACATTGTAGCCGGTAGGGTTAAATTGTAGCTTATTCATATTTATATGTTTGTTAGCCGGCAAGTTAAAATTTCGTTTTATGTTTGTGGATGCGATGGGTTGTGGTGATAATAGCTGAAATGAAATTTGTTATATTTTTTATTTATTCTGTTATATTTCTGTTATATATATAAATTCAATAATTTAATGAATAACAACTGGGCATAGTGATCCAGTCAGGACCAACCACTACTTTATGGATTTCGGGTTCACTATTGCGAACTGTACCCAAGTTTGTGTAGTTTGCTGTGCAACACTCAGCCAATTCTAATTCGTTGCACAACAGACTACTTAAAATGAAATAACTGATTATCGGAAATTGAAGCATCAGAATTTTTCCCTTTAAGTTTCGTCAAAATATGCATCTTAAATTGTGTATTTTGGGGTTGCGTAATTGCATCCATTTTTTTTTTCTTTTTTAACCTTTTGCGGACAGGACTTTTTATGCGCCATACCGTTTTTTCCAACTCTACGCTTATTTTTTTATACACAACTTTATATTTTATGGTATAATAAGATCAGAGGTTGAATGGATAGATGATGTTCATTGGTGAATTCTTTGATACACATTGGTGTTCGAGTTTAACTCGCTGCGTTCTTCGTAAACTGTATTGTTTTCTAAGTCAGTCTCAGCATCAGTTTCTTGGCTGCTGCACTCAGACACTTATCCGTCGAGATATAATACATCAGATTTGTCTCCAGCTGGTATTTGCTTGCTTATTTCTTCCAAAGCAGCCAAATATTGCTCAGTAGGGATGACTTCCCACCGTTTCGTGACAGCCAGGTTGGGTTATGGAGAGCTATTAATTCACTTTCAAGCGCGACCAGACCAAACCGACTGATTCATTGTCAGTGGAAACTATCGGAGCAAGTGGGAGGAATGTTAATACGAGGTTAGAGGGGGTGGCGAGCTCTCCATCTTCGATATAATTCATTCAGCTTATGGTACATACCACTGGCACACTCTGTATGCCTTACCTGTCCGCAAATTGTTAAATAATCTAAATACCCTAGTATCTTAAAACTGCGTCAGGAGTCTTGTGGAGAGTGGGTTGTGATGCCGACTCTCATGTGTAGTCCTCAATTCGAGACTTGGTTCTCAATTTTGTTTTCTTCAATTGGAGACAAAGCGGCTTTATAGCAAGCATACGTCTCAAACATACGTTCTACTAAACTAAACCAGAGTAGCATTTCTATTTTATAGGTTAATAATCAAGCTTTACAACTCGTTTTTTCATTCAATACATTTTATAAAGTACTTTCATGTCCTCTATACTTTGATACAGCTAAATTTCGTCGGTTGCACAGGATATTTTACAAACAACACCATCGGGTCACAATGCGTTAATATTTGTTGGTACTTCCCTCTATCCTTTCCTGTATGTAGAGGGTGAAATTATTGATTAAATGAAAATTAAATACAACGGTTTTATAATTGAACTGAAAAGTAAATTTTTTTTACTATCAAGTCATTTTTTTTACTATAATTTTTTTATATCTGAAAACGAGGACAAAAAAACCTAAATTCGTGAAGCCCTGACATAAATACTTTCAGCAAACTGTAAATTTTAGTCGGATTTATAATATATTTTAATTTTTTCATGAATGTTGAGGCATTTTCTTATGGTATTCATTGTAGTTTTATTTTTTTAACGTATTGTTTTCATCGGCTCACGCTTTTACGATTTTGGTTTACGTCTTCAACTATTTTCTACTTTTTAGTATACTAATGAAAGGCGTTTTTTATATTTTTTACATTTTATTAATAACTCTAGCTTATATACCCGGCGTTTCTCGGACTGCATTTTTTAAATGCGTTTATTTACGTGAGCACTGGCATTCCATCGAGAGCTAATATTAAATAAATTTTTAATTTCTCGCATACGACAGTTGCATCACTTAACTTTCGATAGCTGATTCTACAGATGATAATTTTAACCCTAGAATATTGAGAACAAGACTTAAGCTTTAATGCCTGTTTTTGCCAATAGTATATATACTGAAAATCTTATTAAATCAATTTACCACAGGTTGGCAGCCTGAGTGCTGATGAAAAAATAAAAATAAATTGACGTTCTTCACTTGCGGTTGCATTTTTTTTGCTTTGTTTGTACGCTCGAGAATACCATATTTTATTTTGCAAAGGTTGAAGGAAATTCCTTATTATTAGCTTTTAAAATTCATCTGTTTTTAATATTGTAAAATTTTATCAAGCAAATTTTTTTCTCAACTGAAGCCCAATGTTGCTGATTGGTAACAACCTGTTTTTTAACCGTAAACTGTACTTAAAACAAAATAAATTGGAGTTTTAAAATTAATTTTCCTATGTTTTATTCACGAAATGAAAGTCCAAAAACATTTTTAAATCAATTTTTAAAAAATCGGGCATTTAAGAGGGTTAACGAATACTGAAGTATAAGAAAGGTTTCAATGAAGATTTTGTGGCAATTAATTAAATTGATTCAATTTTCCATTAGTAAAAGAAATTAAAAATAATGCTGGGTAATATCAGCTAGTAAAAAATTAACTATCGAATTATTGTCACGAAACATTCACTAAAACATTCTTTATGCTTCATAATTTTTGTGAGCAAAAGTTGAAAAAAATCTATTCAGTACTTTAAATTTCTGAAGTGTAAAAAAATTGGAGTTTCAGTTTTATTTACGTAGATTGCCTACTTTTTATTCTTTAGTATAATTCATAATTATAACTATTATGGAATTTTGTAACCAAATTTTTCTCGAATTTACTATCAAATGCTGCCTTTCATTTGAAATAAATAATTTATTATCAATCAATGGATTAAATTTAAGTTCTGAAAATATTAAAATATTTCATTATTATCGAGAACACACCTCTGTACAAAATTTCAGAAATCTAGCACTTCAGGAAGTGAGGGCAAATTAGAATACAAAATTTCATGTTTACAAACATGAGAGAAGAGTGAAACCAGTGGGAGTCGTCTCTCCCAAACTTTCTCGTATACTCCCTAACACATGTAGAGAAAAAATAAGCTAAAAGGCAGTATGCCTAACGCAGTGGAGGAAAAAAAAAAGAAGAAAGCGAAACGCCATACCCCGAGTTTTGGAAGGTCCTGGTTTGACCCAGCAAACCTTAAGTAGAATCAGAAGCTCTCGTGATCACGCAATAGGGTTGGGTAAGATAAAGAATTGAATATCTAAAGAGACAAAAAGGTAAGAATTTCTAAAAAGACAAAGAACAATAGAAGCAATTTAATTGGTGTGCGCAAGTGCAGAATCATCCAGGAAAAAATTGCCAAGTATAAAATAAATAAAAATATTAAAAAAAGGGGAATAAAAAAGTGGAAGGGTAAAAAATAATAGTAGACAACGACAAGAAGTAAGAATCTGGTGAATGACTTCATCAGAGGCCAGACATTCATGCAGATTCAAAAGTGGAATAGGTTTCCTGTAGAGGAAAAAGAATTTAAGGTCTAAATTTAATATCCTCTTTTGGCCTGAACCTAAACCGGAATGTATTGGAAAGAAAAGCATTTATCCACAAAGAAAAAATTAAAGACAATCTCCAGAACAAAGTGTAAAAAGAAGGGATTAAAATCTTACCTCTTATAACATATTTGGAACAAAGGAGTGACGCTTTAACAAACGTGTTACAATGTAAACAAGGCAAATAGATGCGTGCACGTATCTCCATCTAGTGAAGGAAACACTAACAAAAGATTTGAAATTTTTTTGTAAATTGTTTCCTAAAGATTTTTTAGGGTTTTTATTATTTTTTTGTTTTATTTTTGATTTTTTATATAACATTTTTGATGTTTTTATGCATTTTTATAATTTTTATTATCAATTTTTTGATGTTTTATTTTCATTTTTTTATTTTCATCATTTAGTTCAGAAAAAATGCAGGTGAGCCAATAAAAATGAAAGTGTGTGTGATGAGTATCAGAGTAACTAGCAGTGCAAAGGTGAGATTGAGAGTAAAATTTTATAAATACTTTATTATTAATAATTAAAGTAGTGTACCGGGTAGCCGTTTAGTTTTAAATTAATATTTAAATTATCAATGGCTTTGACAATGGCAGAATGGTTGTTGCAGAAAGATAAAGAAAATCAAATTTGCAATTTTAACGCCTTTTTTAACCGATTGACATAAAAATTGGACACAAATCTACAATTAAGGTTAGAAGGTCACATACAAAATTTCATTTATCTAAGTAATTTTGTTAAGACGTTATTGTGTTAAAGCGTTAAAAGTATGCTATTATACAGACCGACAGACAGTCAACCTTTTGACGAATTTGGCCTAAAATCTGAAACGGACCTACATTCCTGATGACAAAACTGTGTACCAAATTTTATCTATCTAGCTATTTAAGTTTT